TTGTCGGTATGGGGGGAGGGGGGGGGGATTGTCAAATTTCGGGGACCGTTTTGGGGGGATTAATTTGATTTAATTTGATTTAATTTGATTTAATTGAATTAATTTGATTTTCTTGAAATTATTTAACAAATTTCCGGCTCAAAATTATTAATATTTTTTTAACCCAAACACATTGATCTTCATTATCACCTCCTGGAGATTAATGTGCTTCGATTTTTTTTAATATTGATAACTCTCAGCAGGAAATTTGGTCAAAAATTGGGAAAATTACAGGCATTCTGGTACTTCTTAAGGGGGAGCGTGGAGGACGCTCGATACAACTAGAATGTAATCGATTCTAATCGAGGGAAAATTATGAAACCGATATGGAATTGAAGCTACAGTATTCCTTTAGGCGTTATTTGTTTGGTTGAGGTAAATTCGATAGTTTTGGAAATAATCAATTTTAAAGAGTCATTCATATTTTCGTGGGTCGATGAGGGGTTAATTTCAGTGGGAATTCAATGGAATTTTGAAGTTTTGACATTATTGTTACTCGCATTTGCGATTTTAGGAGAGTGAATTGGAGGTTTTTTGGGTTTGAGATATAGTGATGGGGGGGATGGAAATATTAGGGGCGGGATTTTTTATGGCATTCAAGGAATCACTGAATTCAATTCAAAATACATCGTCATAGAAATGTTCCATTCGAAATAAAAATTACTGATTTATTAGCAAAAATATATTGACTACGTTGTAACGAAAGCAATTTCCCACTTGTTTTTCTTCGTGAGGCGCAACGGTTCGCCTCCCTCGGAATTCTATGAACCTGAATTTGGAGGATATGTCATCATCCACCTGATATTACAATTCCTCGGACGTTTTTATATCTCCCAAATGGATCCTTGGGATAATAAAGGGACAGGTGTTGATTTGTTGGAGGTGGGCCCAGACACTCTGATGGGCGGGTTTCGTGTTTTCGTCGAGACTCGAATACTTCTGAGAGAATCTCCCGAGAAAAAGCCGAGAAAGGAGTGAAGAATTTGTTGTTTTGAAGGATCCCGGGATGAGTCACAGAAATATTTTTAGAATGAAGAGTGGAGTAATGGGTTCAAACTCACCTATCGTAATCAGTCAGTCTCGAGGAGTCCCTGAAGCCCTTGGCGAACGGATTGCTGTCGATTTTCAATTTAGTAATCTGTTGAATAAAATGGTTTTCGTTGAAGGGAAGGGCTGACGACTTGATCATCACATGAAGAGGAATAATTTGAATATCTCACCAATTGATTTTGATAGGCAGTGACTGCGGTGAAAATAGCCTCGGGGAAGATGAAAGTCTTGTGCTCTTCTTTAGTTAAATCCGTTATTTTGTGCCCCTTTTCCTCGTCCTTGCCACGCAACCTCACCAAGTGTATTCTCGGCTGATATCGATGCATTGAATTTAATACAATCTGTAAATAAAATTAATGGTTTAGTGGTGGGTTACGTGAATATTCCGTATTAAATTAGTACTTAATAAAGTGCGTTCTCGGCTGTTATAGATGCATCGAATTTAATACAATCTGTAAATAAAATAAACGATGCACTGATGGCTTACGATTGGAAAACAAGGAAGGAGAGAGGGACGAGAGAAAAAAACAGCGATCAGGCGTACATTAATTAAAAAATAAAACGTTAATTAAAACGCGTTTTGCCGCTGTGTTGTAATTAATTTATGGAATCCATAAATTATGAACGACCAGCGACGTTGATGTATATATCAGAGTCAGTGTCCGTCTGTGCATATGCGATCGGAGTGTTGGTGATATCGACGCGGGATAGGAATCAATTCTTATCTCTGTATCAGAGGAGAGGAAGAGAGAGTCCGGTCTCGGGAACTCGTTGGAGGAACGAGAAAATGCTCGGATGTGTGCGGCATGATGCGCATGATTGTAACATTTATAAATTTATGTACGGGACGGTAGGAATCGGGTCTCGCGTGATACCGGAGTGCACGCGCTTTTATATATGAGTGAACACGCGATCGTCCGATAGTCAACTTTCCTATCGATTTCCTGTCGCGGGAATGATGCGCTTGCGAGAATTGTGACGAAAACCAGCGTCCGTGTAGTCGGATGGAGAAAGGAGTGGAGGGACGGAGGAGAAAAATTCATCACTTGGGCGCAAGTGACTTTTCGCGAATTGCGTGCGCAAAATTCCACTTTCCGCACTTTTTTTTATTATTTAGAGTGCTGGAATCCTCATTGTGGATTCACACCGTCGTTGCTGCTTCACATTTCTCGATCTGTTACACTTATGGCAGTTGGTTTCTTGTTTACATTTTAGATTTTAGTTCATATTTTTTTAAGTATTTACAAATCAGTAGCAAAGCGGGAAACCGGGTCAAGTCGATTTTGATTATCGGCCAGTTTTTGACGAATATCTCGGAATCTAAAGGAGATAGAAAAATGTTTGTCATGACCTTTTTTGTAGATCCAATTGAGAGTTATAAGAAAGGTTATGAGAAAAATTTTGCTATCTCTCTTAAATTCCGAGATATTCATCAAAAACTGGCCAAAAGTCAAAATCGACTTAACCGGGTAAATTGAGACGTTAAGAATGATGAAGTGGAGATTTTCAAGTCTTAAATTGAGACTTTAAGAAGGATCAAACGGACATTTTCCACGGAAAATTCCATAAACAATTTTTATAAATAAAGTGTTGAAAATTGAAAAAATCATAACTTTGATGTCAATCAATATTAAGGGCTGAAAATTTAGGAACATTTTTTTATAAGTCACTGATATTGAAATAAAATCGGCGACCAAATCCCTGACATCCATTTCTTTCAGTGGTCGATTTGGCGTGGATCCCATTTACGAAAAATTATTGACGACGCAATGTCATAAATAATTTTTATTCAAATTTTCGGAATGTTCATGGAATGATTGAACTGAAATAAACAGTTTCTCCAGATTTGTCCATCGAATCGTGAATTTCCAATGCCAAAATGCCCTGAAATTTAAGTGGAAGTGTCACTCGAAAAAGAATTCCAAAAATTTCCCAAATTTAATCCCAAAATAAAAATTCTCTTTGAAACACGCATGAATTCTTCCAAGCCCATCAGAACCAATTAGCCCAAGAGGATGATATAAAAAATTATATGGAGGTAAACCAAGTCACATGTATTATCGCTAATATGAATTATGGTGGCGGCTGCGAGAGCCACGGACCCAGCAACTGTTGAAACTGTTTAACGGCCCGCAGGTGGCCCGAAGCTCCGGGGCCTTTTCTCTCACCAGGTACTCCCCACCACAAACGTTAAAACGTCACTGGATATGATGCCTGCCTCCTGAACGATCTCGTTTACATATTATAACGTAGGTGCGAGGTATTTAAAAAAAAAATTAAGGAAACATTCTTCCTTCAGCATCTGATAAACCTGTCGTAGATATCTTTAATTCGATGACTTACTCGTGCATATGCCCACATATTCTGAAGAACGATCCATTTTACCCCAGCGGAATTCATAATTGGCATTCTTTGATAATTATTTTGAATGAAGCGGAAAATTTTAGAGGAGAAATTTTTTTTAAAGTGATGATTCCGCAAAAATTTCAAAAAAACTACTTTCTGAAATCAAGGCATTGTCTACTTTTTGTCCCCAAATTTAGGTCATGTTTAGGGTCTCAAATTAAGACATCAAGTCATGCATTCTAGACATTGAATGGAATATATATTCATTTCCATGGAATAATTGAATTAAAATTGACATTTATTTGACTATAAAATTCTAAATTTTTAATTACGAAATGATGAAAATTCCCAAGATTTAACGATAGCGAATTTTCACCAATAGTGAATTTTCTAAAAAAAAATTCTTCATAATTTTAATGGAATTCTACTTAACTTGAAATTTTCCCAAAGCAAAATTGTGTTGTTATTTAATGAAATTCGAAATTTTGAGTTCTTCCTTGAATTCTTAATCAATTTAAAGTGAACGAACATATTCGAGCAATTATATGGCCTCAAAATTTTTGGTATTATTTTCATTTTCTCATCGTAAAATAGAAGTAAAAAGAAGAAAAATGAGCGCTGCCGGAACTCTACAACTCAATAATTCACAGAAATACAGCAGATTCAATTTTTTTCTCCTTCAAAAAATTTTTCCAATTTGAACGATGCAAATACTATAATTCAAAAAAGAATATATCCAAAAATACAGATTTAATCGGAAATTTTCTCAATTTTTCGAAAAAAAAATTTCTTCTCGTGATTAATTTTATCGGAAAAATCACGAAAAAGTGTAAATCGTCAATTTCATCGCGATTCCCACATTTAATTCAATTTTTCTTGCCAGTCAATTTTCTTAATATTTCGGAATTGCATTGAAATTTACATTTTCCGCTAATTTAAAGCCGAATTCCTCCAAACTTCAATAGAATGCGATATAAAATCCCAATAAATATACCAGAAGTTCCCCCAAAAAATTTCTGACCCCATAAACTAATTAAAATACCTATAAACCCAATCATCACCCAATAATCCCTGTTTCCCGAAACATCCACTCATAACCATTCAACCTCTCCGCCAGTAGTCCCCGTGGAATTCCTAAACGTGTCTTCGACGCCCAATAAATTACCATAATTACACCCAACGAACATCCGGCAGCTTTTTCAATCCATTTCATAATATTTCCCGAGTCACGTTGCCGGCGATAGCCAACGAAAATTTCATTCCAATTTTTTCATCCTCACCTTTCAACATTTCTTCCCCGTTCACCGTTAACTCCCGATCTACACGAAGCATAATTATAATCTCGCGGGACTAATACCCTGAAAAAATGATTGGCTACTGGATTTCACGTGGGACTCGACGAATATGCCCGCCGGCATGGTCAAGGAATCGACCGAGTTTCTTCGGCACACAAATACATTCGAACGTTGTATCACTCACCGAGTGTAATAGTTTCCAAGCTAGAGCTCAACGAGTATCGGGAGCACAATTTGCATGTGGCGATTTATCAAACAACGCGCCATCCATGTAATACACGTTGATAGCGGCATTACACGCGCGATTTATAACCAACTCGCTCGACTTTTTTCCACCGTTCCCCTCCTTCAGCATAATAATTCCCCCGTTTTTTCCTCCTCTTGAGCCTCAGCTATTTCTAACCTGCAGTGGAATATTAGAGGTAATCATGGAGGGAATGGGGGGGAGAGTAAGGCGGGGAATTTTTTCAACAGCAGTGAATATCGATCGCGTTATTTACAACTGGTTATGTAATTAGGCGCCAGTTTGAGAGAGAAATTGTGATATTTTCTGGGATTGGAGACAGTTTTATCATTCAACAACTTGATCGTTATGCTGGGTAATTAGGGAGATTAAAATGACGGGTAAACATGGGAGTCTGTCATTGGTTTAATTAAATGATCTTGTTGATGTCGCGGTGGTCGGTAATTGAGACAGAGGAACTTGGGAATCGTTTGCGGATGTGTTAACGGTATTTAGTACCTAGAGTCGAGCGACACTTGATGTCGCGAGACCAGACGAGAAACTATCTTTTCGTTTTGTCTCGTCAGAAAACCATTCTCTCGTCTTGTCTCGTCTTGTCTCGTTTTGTCTCATCTCGTCTCGTCTGGTCTCGTCTCATCTGGTTTCGTCTGGTCTTGTCTCGTCTCGTCTGGTCTCGTATCGTCTTGGCTCGTCTTGTCTCGTCTGGTTTCGTCTGCTCTTGTTTCGTCTTATCTCATCTCGTCTCGTCTCGTTTCGTCATGTCTCTCGTCTCGTTTGTCTCGTCTCGTCTCGTTCCTATCATTATCTCGAATAACTATTCTCGTTTCGTTCCTATCATTGTCTCGAATGACTCTTCTCGTCTCGTCTCGTCATGTCTCTCGTCTCGTTTGTCTCATCTTGTCTCGTCATGTCTCCCTCGCGTCTCGCGCCATCACTAGAGCGACATTTTCTCCTGCTTCATGAGCTCGTTTTCTGAAAATTAGAGCAGATCGACCTCCACATGATGAGTGTCAATTTGCCCCGGATAACTGTGGAATGCGACCCTTCGGGGTATTAGTTTTTTCAACAGTTCCATGTTTGACGTGGATTGAGTCATTCTTTGAAACAAAGATAGTATCTATTAGATCGTAATGAGCGTTGTCAGAACTCGATAAATCCTGGGTTGATTGTAGATACATAAATTATGAGGACTCGAGGGCATTAATAGTACACGCGTAGACCAGTGGATTGCGTCGAGAACAATAATTTCTTTTAATTAAATATTTGGGGTCGAAATAATCATTAGTTGGGGATGGACCTGCAGTCCGAGAATACATCAATTTTTCGTTTCGAATAATAAAGTTTTTATTTCAATAAATTTTTCGTTGAAAATTAATAAACTCGCGTATAATATTTCAATGAAAATGTTCTTCATTCTACGAAATGAATAATTAATTTATTCCGAAGTGTACAAAGC